ATACTCACGATTATGGGGTTTACCAGGGAAATAACAGGCTACAACTCAGGATACAGTTCTTTCAGGACAGTCTTTTCTCAGCTGTGCCTGCCAGCAGGCCTCTCTCTGGCCCTTGGTCCCTTGGCCCAGCCTCTGCCCTGCTCAGGCAAGTGTGACAAAGCTCTTTAGTTCCACTGGTAAGTGCCCAGAGGCACTCCACTCAGCCAGGAAGCCTTGGCCTAAAGGCACTCAGCCTTCTTGCTCAGTGGGCCAGGAAGCCTGTTGCACCATCTCCTGCTGGTCTCCTGGTTCTGCTGCTGCTTTTCACCACCTCTTGCCCTCTCTTCTTCCTAGTAGTTAGGTCCCCCCATCCACCTCTGGTGTGGCTCATTTTAAGCCTAGAGGGATGGAAAAACTGACCAATCCCCTTGTTAGGGTTCCATACACCTTATTTGTATGGTCCCACAGCTCACAAGGGTACTATGGACCTTATTTGCATTATTAGCAAGCTGTCCAATCCCCTTGGTGGACCACAAGTACCTTATTTGCATACTCCCATCCAATCATTTGGTGGGAGTTACAAGACCATGGCGACAAAGGCCATATAAAAGCAATCCATCACACTGCAATAACCCAATATTTTTTCACGCCTGTACAAAAAGAATATGTCCAATGGTCTTCCCTGAAGCACTATTTGTAATTTTAAAACTACAAATGTGTGAACAGATGACCTGCAATAGGCATGTGGCCAAATAGATCACAATACACCCATACTACAAAATACTGGCGAGTATAGCACTATGGAAAGAGGGTAGGCTCTGGAGCCAAATGGCAAGGGCTAGAATATCAGCTTGGCCACTTCCTAGCTTTGTGACCTTGGGCAAAACACCTTACCTTTTTGTGCCTTAGTTTGCTCATTTGTGAAATGGATGATGTCTTAGTTATCTAGCGCTGCTATAATAGAAATACCACACGTGGGTGGCTTTAACAAACACAGATTTATTTTCTCACAGTTTAGGAGGCTAGAAGTCCAAATTCAGGACACCAGCTCTAGAGGAAGGTCCTTGTTCCTTGGTGATCTTCATGTGTTGTGGCATCTCTTCCCCCATCTCTGCTTCCTTAATGTGCTCCTCTTATATCTGAAAAGATAATTGACTCAAGACACAACCTGCACTAATACTGCCTCATTAACATAACAAATAAAACAAATTCCCAAATAGGATTATAACCATCGATATACCAAAAACCCATTGCCATTAAGTTGATTCCGACTCATAGTAAAGCTGTAGGACAGAGTAGAACTGCCCCATAGAGTTCCCAAGGCTATAATCTTTACAGGGAGCCCTGGTGGTGCAGTGGTTAAGAGCTATGGCAGCTAACCAGAAAGGTCAGTAGTTCAAATCCATCAGCTGCTCCTTGGAAATGCTATGGGGCAGTTCTACTCTATCCTATAGGGTTACTATGAATCTGAATCCACTTGACCCCAACCGGTTTGGTTTCGTTTAATCTTTATGGCTACTGACCTTTTAGTTAGCAGCTGAGCACTTAACCACTGTGCCACCAGGGCTCCTAACCACAGCTGTAGGGGTTAGGATTCATAACAAATATTTTGGGGGGACCGAATTCAGTCTGTATCCCAACCCACCGTCCTTGAGTCAATTCTGACTCATAACAACTCTATAGCATATCGGGATAATAATAGTACCTTCTACTATGTAAAATATATTTTCTGTGTGCGTCAGTGCTGTATCCTTTCATCATGTTTATTCAATCTGTATGCTGAGCAAATAATCCAAGAAGCTGGACTATATGAAGAATGGAGTGTCAGGATTGGAGGAAGACTTGTTAACAACCTGCATTAAGCAGATGACACAATCTTGCTTGCTTAAAGTGAAGAGGGCTTGAAGCACTTACTGATGAAGATCAAAGCCTATAGCCTTCAGTATGGATTACACTTCAGTATAACGAAAACAAAAATCCTCACAACTGGCCAATGAGTAACATCATGACAAAAAGAGAAAAGATTGAACTTGTCAAGGATTCCATTTTACTAGGATCCACAATCAATACTCATGGAAGCAGCAGTCAAGAAATCAAAAGATGAACTGCATTGGGCAAATCTGCTGTAAAAGACCTCTTTTAAGTGTTAAAAAGCAAAGATGTCACCTTGAAGAGTGCAGTGGGCCTGACCCAAGCCATGGTGTTTTCAGTTGCCTCATATGCTTGTGAAAGCTGGACAATGAATAAGGAAGGTCGAAGAAGAATTGACGCCTTTGAGTGTGGTGTTGGTGAAGAATACTGAATATACAATGAACTGCCAAAGAACCAACAAATCTGTCTTGGAAGAAGTACAGCCAGAACGTTCCTTAGAAGCGAGGATGAGGACCAGACTTCATCTTACATACTTTGGACATGTTATCAGGACGGACCAGTCCCTGGAGAAGGACATCATGCTTGGTAAAGTGGAGGGTCAGCAAAAAAGAGGAAGATCCTCAACAAGATGGACTGACACAGTGGCAGCAACAACGGACTCAAGCGTAACAATGATCATGAGGATGGCGCAGGACCGGGCAGTGTTTCATTCCATTGTACATAGGGCTGCTATGAGTTGGAACTGACTTGATGGCACTAACAACAACTACGTAAAAAAAGAAACAGAATGAAAGCCTATTATTAATGAAAAAAAAAACGATTTGGGTAAATGTTTGTGAGAGACTGAGAAAGAAAGGAGAGAGAGATAGGTGCTGTTGAGTCAACTCTAACTCATGGCAACCTTATGTACAACGGAATGATGTTACAAGGTCTCGAGTCAACCGCACGACTGCCAGCATGTTTGAGTTCATCGTTGTGGCTATTGTGCTAATCCATATCACTGAAGGTCTCCCTAATCCTTGATGGCCCTCTACTTCACCAAACATGATGTTGTCCACTAGTGATAGATTCCTCTTGATAACAAGTCCAAAGCAAGGGAGTCAGATAATGTATTGTTGTGATCCATAGGGTTTTCATTGGCTAATTTTCAGAAGTAGATTGCCAGGCCTTTCTTCCTAGTCTATCTTAGTCTGGAAGCTCCATGAAACCTGTCCACCATGGGTGACCCTGCTGGTATTTGAAATAACAGTGGCATAACTTCCAGAATCACAGCAACGTGCAACCCACCACAGTATGACAAACTGACAGGCAGACAGTGGTAAGCCCCGTAGAAGTGCTAATAGAAACTTGTCGCCTGTCTTTTCCTGTTTACTCATAACAGAAAACAAAAAACTAGCTTGACATGCCTGAACAGTTAACAGAGGTGCAATCTAAGATCCAATGTGTAGTTCCAGGTCCTGGGCTTTCCAGTGGGCGAGAGAAAAGCGTTATATAAAAGCATTATATGCTTATGTGACACTTAATAGTATATTACACACATCTTTTCTTGTCAATAGGTGGCTTATTAGTACAGCATCATTTAATGGCTTTCTTCATTGTATATTTTGTCATAATTTATTTAATAAAGCTTCTAATTTTGGACATTTGGAATGCTGCACACTTTTTCCTATTAGAATCAGCATTCCAAAGCACACATATATGCACATATTTTCATGCATATCCTTAAATTTTTGTGAATTTTTAAATCTTTATTTTCTTGGGAGAAATTACTACTAAACCAGAACCAAACCCGTTGCCATCAATTCCATCTCACAGCGATCCTATAAGACAGCGTAGAACTGCCCCATTGGGTTTCCAAGGATCGGCTCATGGATTTGAACAGCTGACCTTTTGGTTAGCAGCAGAGTTCATAACCACTGCACCACCAGGGCTCCAAAATTACTACCAGTGAAAAATAATACGATTATAACCAGCCCAATAAATGTTTAATAGAACATTGAAAACAAGGTTGGATCTATGCCCTTAAAAAACTCACCCCTAGACAAATGGGTGAACAAATAAAGATGATTACAAAGCCTAAGGATTCCAATACACTGTATATGCATAGATGTGGTTGAATATGTGAGTGCCCTCATTCCCTATTTTGCAAACGCAAGAATTCTACAGAAAGACTGATTGTTTTCTTTCTATTCGCTAGAGGATTTATTCCCTGTAACTCAAAGTGAGAGCTTCAATTTGAGATTTCATTTGCAGAAAATATATTTTAGCTCCTTTGCTAGTAGTATTATGAAGAATTTAAATGGATATGTTTTGTCAAAACAGTGAAACAAGCACACTAGATTATAGTAGATAGACCTTCACGTTGCTAATATATATAATTCATAATCCTACGTCACTTACTCATTACTACTAATTTTCACTTCAAATTAATGTGGGACTTTTTTGTATTTGATTGCAACTGATTTAGGTACATGCTCGGAATGAATCTGGAAGCTGAAAATCAAATATTTCTTACAAAAACTAAGTAAGAAAGCTCGTTGTACATAGATATCTTAACTGTCAGCACATACACCACTCCTGTATGGGTAGAAATGGTTTGGGTTGTTGTCTTCAGATTTACACAGCCAGGAAGCTTACGAACATCACTGGCTTCACACTGGAGTTTCCACTGTCTGGTAGCATCAACTTGGGAAGCCTCTGTGGCTCTTTCTATCCATAACACTTGGAAACAGGTCCTAGAAGGTTTTGGAAGCCATAATGACAGATCCTATACTGTGAGAAAAATTAGACAGCTAGGAGAAACTGTGCAGCAAGAAAGGTAAGATTCAATCGGTGAGTGGGAAGCCGGGGAACGGGGCAGCGAACCAGGCCGAGGCGAGGGAAGCCGAAGTCCAGTGTGGTACTGCGGCTGCAGGGCTGCCGAGAGACGGCGTCGGAGCCAAGTTGGATATTTCCCGGCACGGCCAAGCTGACCCGAAGACTCAGCTCCCCTCCGACCAGACAGCGGCTAGGAAATAATGGTCTTTATCCCCTCCACCGACGCCAGGATGTCGTCTCCGTGCCTGACGCCAGGGTACAACCGTTGGAATGAGGAGTAAATCAGAAACGCGATGGTTAAAAATATCCCGGCGGACAGCGCTGATGGGTGGACGTTGAACGTGATGACTTAACTACTCCTCAGTAAACCGAACCCTCCGCTGACTCTCGCACTCGTTAGCGTCGGATGTACCCTAGTCAGACCCTGCATCCGAGCGCCGAGCCGCACGGAAGTGCCAGTCTAGTAGCCCTCAAACCCCGCGCCAGTGGCGACTCAAGGAGACCTCAGGTCGACCTCCGGCCGGAAGTGACGCAACCGCGCCGAGCACTTCCGGAGCTGCGGGGACGGATCCGTCGGAGGAAGCAGCGCGGGTCCCGACCGGGGTCGGCCCTCCGCCTCCGCCGCCGCCGCGCTCCAACTCGACCCCTCTGGCCCGGCCCGACCCGGCGTGGCCCGCCCGGGCTCAGCGGCCGCGGGGTCGCGGCTCTCGGTAAGTGCGTAGTGCGAGTCGCGGCCTTGTTTACCGCGGCGGGCGGGGGGAGCTCTCCGCGCGCCTCCCCGGCTTGGCCGGGACTCCGCCTTCGCCGCCGTCCGCGAGGCCCCGGCGTCGCCTGCCGCCGAACCAGCGCGGAGGGGCGGCAGGAGGCTGCTGCTGAGGCAGGCGAACATCCGGCGTCTCTCCGCCCTTCTTTCTGCCGCCGCCGCCTCAGCTGGCGGAGAGGTCGGAGGCCAGCCGTTCTGACGGACCGGCGCCGGCGCACTTGGGCCCTCCCCGCTAGGAGCGCCGTGGAAATGCGCCGCCGTCGGGACTTCTCCAGTCATCATTAGAAGTTCTCGCAGCGCCGCTCGCGCGGCTTGTTAACGCCTGCTTGTGAAGGGTCCGCTCAGCGCGTGGACTCCCAGTCCGCGCGGTGTATGGGGATAACGCCGCGCCTCCGAAGGGACATGCGGCCCAGGGGTTGCACCGCCGCCTCGCCCGATGCTGTCGGGGTAGCTGCGGGAGAGGTCGCCGTGTTCTCGGCTGACTTCGCCACTGTACTGATTGTTGCTGTGTCCCATAGAACTTTGTGCGATGATGGACATGTTCAGTAGTTTTGTTGTCCAGTACGGTAGCACTGGCCACACGTGGCCATTCAGCGTTTGACGTGGTTAGTGCGAGAAACTAAATTTTAAATTTTATTTAATTTTAAAATTAAGAAAAATGAACAGCCGTATGTGGCTTACGTCTGCTGTATTGGACAGCACAGGTACTAAATTGCTGATTCATATCTTTGTGCCAAGTAGTTTTCTTTGGAGATGTAGATTTAGTCAATGACCTTTCAGTGCTGCACATATTTGGAGTAAGTATTGTCACGTCACCAAAATGTCTGTTTAGTTCTTCTGAATTTCCAACTGAGAAGTCTTCATTTTAGATGATTTCCTTCCTAGAGTGGCCTGGCCTGGTGAATGAATCCAAGGGTGGGTGTCTGGTGGTCCTCCGAACACATGACTTTGGCAGGGAAATAATTTCTGTTCCTCTTTTTTTGTCCGCAATGTGGAGAGAGATTTAATATCTCAAAGGAATCAAAGCGTTTCCATCAGTTCTGTTAATAAAGGCAATACATACGGGCTCCTTTGAGCAAGTTCAGCATTCTTTCAAGTAAAACACAGATTTCAAATGATTCAAAATTAAGTTTTTATTTAATTCTTAACCTAGAATGCTCAGTAAGTACGAAATGGAATTCATTTTTCTTTGGGGGAGGCTGGAGTTTTTTTCCCCTTCTTGAATGTTGGGTTGCTGAGAAGCCTGTAGGGTCCAAAGAAGCCTAGAGAATGTGAAAAGTATACTCTTTTCTTGGTGTGATTCTGGAAGGTCTTTGGGTAAGTTTGTGGCCAGTACCAGGCTTTCTGGGAGGATATTGGGGGTTATGAAATTCTGTATGTCTTGGGTAGGATGGAGGTCTGGTCCTGGGCTTCACTAATTGCCAGCATTGTGATGCTGGGCAACTTAATCTTCCTGAACTATAGCTTCCTCATTAAGATGGGCATGGTATACCTAGTCCATCAATTCCTTTTATTCCAAACAAAAGGAAACAACATTTTAGTAGTCTCTAACAGTTTTTTAAACTCCTTTGCTCTGTTTTCAGGTGTCTTGTGTGTCTGTTACTATCTGCTGTTGAGCATGTGAGCCTGTTTCCAACCTTTTCTCTTGATCTTTTTTTTCCCCATACAAAAATTTATACATACGTTGTTATGTGACTTTAATTGCTCTACCCATACTGTAACAGCATACTCCTCCTTTCCACCCCTGATTCCCCATGTCCATTCAACCAGCTCGTAACCCTCTCTGCCTTGTCATCTCACCTCCGGACAGAAGCTGCCCGTTTAGTCTCGTATCTACTTGAGCTAAGAGGCACACTCCTCCCGAATATCAATTTATGTCCCCAAGGCCAGTCCAGTCCTTGTCTGAAGAGTTGGCCTTGGAAATTGTTTTAGTTCTGGGGTGATAGAGAATCCAGGGGCCATGCTTTCCGGGGTTCCTTCAGTCTCAGACCATTAAGTCTGGTCAAGAAGGGCATGGTAGATAGCCACTTTTGGGTTGTGAAGATTAGATGAGAATGAGTCTGATGTGAAATTAAATAATTGGTAGTAATTTTTGTAGGCTGGAGTAATATTCTGGTGGCGTAGTGCTTAAGAGCTACAGCTGCTAAACAAAAGGTCAGGCAATTTGACTCCACCAGGCGCTCCTTGGAAACTCTGGGGCAATTCTACTCTGTCCTGTAGGGTCTCTATGAGTCCAAATCGACTCGATGGCAGCGGGTTTGGTTTGGTTTTTTTTGGAGCAGTATTCACAGATTCTATTTGTCCTATAAGCAGTATCTTACATAAAATATGTGTAAAAGAAGAAAGTTGGAAAAATCAATTGTTCTTCCACTATTTTGGAAATAATTTCCCACAGTCATTGTTTGGACTTTGATTTTCATTTAGTTTATATTTGCCTATGTTTGAAGTATTTCTTTGGAAGTTACAAGCTCTGGTTTTCCAAGAAATTCTAAAGGATAAAGCAGGTAGAAATAAAATTTCTGAGTAAGCAACAAGTAGTGCTTATTTAGTTATGGATAGTGAGGTCTGTATCTCTTGGGAAGCCAAATGGCCCTAGAGTATGTCAGGAGAGAGATGGGAAACAGGTGTTAATATTGCCTAGTGTTGAACTGCCATCCTTTTGGGGACTTTTTTTATTTGAAAATAAGTTTTGTCATGAGTAAAGTGAGATCTGAAATATTAGCAGTATTCTGTAATTGTTTGCTACAGTAGAGGTGACTTTATAGTAAAAGTCTACTGTTTGTCAGTTACAATTTTCCTTGCAAAAATTGAATGCCTTATCAATTTCTGAGTAACATTTGGATTGAAATTGTGGTAGTTAACTTAGGGAATCTGAAGGATAGGGGTAAGGAGGTGGACTTTCAAACCAGGGGAGGGAAATTGGACATCCATTTCCATCAACAGCACCCCAGGTTAAATTATTGTCAGTTGTTTACTCTGAGTACTTTCTTTTTTTAGAAGGCCTGTAACTCTTGTCAATGCAATTATGATAAAAGAATTTCTATTGAAACTTAGAAGAAAGTAATAGTTTCTCTGGCCTCTTGTTACTTGTCCTTTTAATGTGTTTGCTTGTTAAAAAATAAGTTTGCAAAAGCAAGGTACCATTTTATTTTAAAAAATATAACTATAATTCTTTTCATTTTAGATGGAAATCATATGACAGCATATTTGGGTGCCATCTTCTGACACATCTTCAGGAATTGCAGGTATTTTTAATTCAAAGCTAAACTTTTTCTCCTAAAGGAAAAATACCATGGTTAGGTTCAGTTGTGATCAGATGGTTCCACCATAGGGAACAATTTGTTAAACATTAGATAAACTGCAAATATTATATTGCTGCTCTATCATTAATGTGGGTTTTTTTAATAACGTGAGCATTCATAGTTGACATATCAAACTTAGAGCCAGTGATATATTTACAATATTATAGAAAAGGTGGTTTTATAGTGTTTTAGGCTGGTTACGTATTTGGTATGCATTCATTCTTAATCTTTGTTCTAGGTAGTGATTGTTTTTTTAATAGAGATTGCTGCAAATAGACTTTACATTTTCTTTTGTATTTAATCCATATTTTTATGTAAATTGTTTATATACCCTTTAATGTAAATAGTCTTGCATTTTAAGATTCTATTTATTGGTAGATTTAAATCACTAGTCGATATTGTTTCTTGCAAATGATCACTTGAAATAGTACTTGTGCAGAAAAATTAGCAGGTATTTGCCACAAATCTTCTCTGAGCTGAGGTTAGGATTTGTGACTGTTTTACTTTCTCAACCAATGTTTTCTTGTCATTTACGTATAATTGAATAACATTTTTATCTGTAAGGATTTTTCAGTAGCTGGTTCAATTTGAACTGCTTTGTTTTTTCACCCTAAGATTCTGGTTTTCCCTAGCCTTGATCCTGCTAAGGCAAAATATCTATATTGTTCCTTTTCTATTGGATCAGCTTCTTTGGCTCCAAGTATTCCTTTTAAAAGATCAGCAAAATCCTTTAAAACTGAAAAATCATTTAACTTTGCAGACTAGAGAAGGATGTTGAATTGCAACTCTGAAGAGGAGCTGTGTGGCTTTTTTATTTTTGCTTCTTAACTATGTACCTGTTCTTCAGATATCTGAGAGGGATATCTGTGAAGCAGTGATTTTCTTTTCCTACATATAGTGGGAAGGAACCCTGTCCCTGTTTATGTACTGTGTCACCACACAGTGATGACAAGGAAATTTTAAATCTTGGTAGTTAAATCTTTGGGTGTGTGGGCAGCCACCTGTGGGGATGTGCTGCTTCTTTAAGGAGTCTGGTGGGAAGGATAAGTCCATGGGAACTTAACTTCTAGACATGGAGCAGACAGCCTTGCCCTTTCAGGCCAGGCACTTCATGCGAAGTTACCAGCACATTGGCAGCCACTTTCTCCTCTCTAGAGAAGGTTTCCCTCTGATAAGTCTGTTGGAGGAATGATATTGAGGTTTCCAGTATAAAACCAGAGTTGGAATAGGCCATAGTTGGAGTAGAGCCAGTTCTGTTCCATTTTGATTCTTCATGAATGGTTTCTGTTATAAGTTCTCATAGGGAGAAAGTAACACTTGTTTTTTTCTTTTTCTCCCTTAGAAGACATAAATACTAATGCTTTTGAGAAAGCGGTAAAGTTTGGGGGGAGGGGAAAAAGCAACTGCTTTCCTGATCTGCAACTTGGCTGGATGCTGAGATGTCTGTGGACATGAATAGCCAGGGATCTGACAGCAATGAAGAGGACTATGATCCAAATTGTGAGGAGGAGGACGAGGAGGAGGAAGAAGATGAGGACCCTGGGGACATAGAGGACTATTATGTGGGAGTAGCCAGTGATGTGGAGCAGCAGGGGGCCGACGCCTTTGATCCTGAGGAGTACCAGTTTACCTGCTTGACCTACAAGGAGTCAGAGGGTGCCCTCAACGAGCACATGACCAGCTTAGCCTCTGTGCTAAAGGTGAGCATTGTTGCCAATTCTAAGTGTAATCCCCCCAGTCAAATCTAAGGATGAGCTGTTGTTACCCGGTGACTTCTCCAGACTGATTGAATGGCCCTGTAACTTGAAACCAAATTTAAGTATATAGTGCATAATTTGGAATACGTTTGTTACATTTAATTTGTTTTCTAATATGTAAACATTTAAGGCCGTTGGATTCTCAAATTACTAAGAATTAGAAAGGGGCAGTGGGGAAGTTTCAGAAAAGAGACCAGAAGTGCATAGTCTGTGGCAGATTTGCATGGACTAACACTTGTTTCAGAAAGTGAGTCTTGTGAAACTTTGAGGTAAGATATAAGTGTCAGATCTCCACCGTCTTCTACACATCCATGTTTGAGTGATTGATAAATATTTGTCTTGAAAGTAGCCAGATCCCCCTGGTTTGCCCTGAATAATAAGTGCCTCTGGGCTGATGCACTCACTTGTTTCATATACTGATGACTAATGTCTAATGTTGAAAGAGATCATCTCAGCAACATTTAAGAAAAAAGGAAATTCGCGTAACTTGTATTTCATTGATTTTAATGAGTTAAGTGGTAAATATGGGGATTTTAAAGAACGAACAAAGTTGGTTATTCCAGCAAGAATCTTACTTTTAACACTTAAACTAGTATACCTTTTGGTGTCAACTTCAGGTCCGTTGTCTTGCTATTTACATTTTTTACGGTCATTTAGACAACTTTCCATCACGTTTCCTTCTCTAACATTAGCCATTCTGTGAAAGTAGGAGCATTTCTCTTGCTTCACTGTTTTTGCTGACATTCCTTTGGAAACTGTTATATGGATTTTGTTGCCTCCTCAAGTTGAAGGTCAAGGGCACATAGGCATAATTTCAACCAAGTAAATTCTCTTGTTGATATTTAAGTGGAAATAACTTAAGACGTGCCATGGGTCATTTCTGTAACAGTTGCTTTACCTGCTAGTTTAGGGGTTTTTTCCTAGGTGGTCAGCAAAGGCTAACTAGTAACTTGGAGTTAGATACTCAGAACGTCTTACCAAGTCTTTGTTAGCAACTGGTTGGAAGCAGGAAGCTAAAGCTTTTTTTGTGACTCATTCCTAGAAGCAGTTGCAGACTTTCTCTCTTGTGCTCAGCAGAAAACTCTGAGGATTGGAGACTCATGGAACCTCTGGGTTTGGGATTTCTGTTCTGTAGCTATGGCAGAGCTGCTGGGACCTCTGCCTTCAGAGGGCATTTTCCTGCTAGAAAAAAGGCATCGAGTCCCTTTTTTCTTCACTATGCACACTTTTCCCTTGCTGATCAACTAGCTTGTTTTGCTTTAACCATATTGTCAGGTTATACACAGTGTTGGTGTTTAAAATTAGAAAAAGAGTTTCCAGGTATGTGGATATGTGCTGGATAGCGCCCATTGACCAAGTCCATCAGGATGTTTCTGTCTGTGCACAGAAATTCCCAGTTTGTGAAGTCTTCTGTATAGACTTTCCTGCCCTGCTAGAGATACCCGAGGGGCCCCAGTCACCCATCCTTCCTTCTTACTAGGCTGACATATGGTCAACCCCTTGGAAAGCCTTCCCTTCACCCCCTCACCTTTAATACCCTCAGGGCTCCTTCATCGTCTACCTTATGCTTTCCTTGGTGAGCCTCCTCGAGAGCCCCTAGAACATAGTCATCGTGCCCTCCTTTAGTCTTATTGCCCAGACGTTGCAGCCCATGTGTGTTCAATCATATACTGCAGTCTGTTGACTGCTTTCTGTTGTTTTACCCTTTCATATAATTTTTCAGTATCTCTCCAGCTAGATTGTCAGTTCTTGGAGGGCAGAAACTGCCTTATACCTTGTCTCCTCCATCATTTCTGTCACATTGTTTCATCCATAGTAGTTATTGAATGATTTCTTGGATATTTGTGGGTTTTGATGACAGTAGCTACTGCTGCTGTTGTAGGGTCAGCTCCTGCTGTCCATGTGAGCCAGATTCCCTAGTCCCTGATGTACATCCTTTTCTACCGTTGTGGAAGGGCATTGTCCCCAAGACCACGAAGAGAAGAAGCAAAAGTAACTTTGAACAAAGATGGAGGAATAAAAAGAGATGGAAAAAAGTTGAAATAAGGAAAGGGTTAAAGAAAAAATGGGGCAAAGCGAAGAAGAATCCACAAAAATTTAGATGATGGTGGTGGTGTGTGCCGTTGAGTTGATTCCGATTCATAGGAACCCTATATGACAGAGTAGAACTGCCTCATAGGGTTTCCTAGGCTGTAATCTTAACAGAGATCGCCAGATCTTCTTCTTCCACGGAGCCCCTGGATGAGTTCGAACCACTGACCTTTCAGTTAGTAGCCAAGCACTTAACCGTTGCACCACCAGGGCTTGTTTAGATGATGGTAGAAGACATATTTTTTTTCTCTTCCTGGACCTCACTGAAGAGTGTGTTTTAATACCCATTTCCTTTCTGGGGCTGGACAGCAAGGGTCCTGGCTTTTTTGGTGGTTTGGCCACACATAAGGAGACTCAGTAGTGCTTTAAGTGGGCTCAGGAACTTGACCGATGAGGCTAGGCAGAGCAGCTTCATTAAGAGTGAAGGAGAAGGAATAATACACAGCTTTCTCTTCCAGGCTGACTAGTAAACAGGTTTGTGCTAGCAACTAGCATTATTTTTATTTTTGTAATTAATGTTTTTTGAGGGTGGGACGGAATATTTCAAGTGTTGGCATTTACAGAATGGTGTTCATAGGTGCTTTGGCAACTCAAGGTTCCCTGTAACGTTTATCTGAGGGTAGGGGTTGATAGTGATAGTCACCCATTCATCTTTCTGCACCACTGATTTCCCCCATGGGTCATGATGCTGCTTGCACAACCACTAACATACTGAGATACTTAATTCTTTCATATGACCTAGGTGCCGTTTGGCTAGTAGGAAATAATGATGTGCATATGCAGTTTACAATTACAGCCTCATGAACAGCTGGCTATGAACAAAAGCTATCCAAGTTTGAGGAGTGGATTGAGTTTTTCACTGATAGTCATATCTGTGTTATTGGTTTTGTTGTGTGCTAGCAGTTGCCTGTGGATGAGCAATAGTATAACCTAAAGTTGAGCCTTTTATTGTCTTTTGGAATTTGAAATCTCTTAAGTAGAAAAATCCCAAATGTCTGGGACACTGGACTTTTGGTTTAGTGAGAGCTCCTGGTGTCAGAGAATAACTTCCTGTATGTGTCCTGGGACCAGTTCATGAGTAAGATCATTAATCCAGAGAAAGAAGTGTGCCCAGAAAATCAGATGAGAGGCTGAGGACTGACAGAGAAATGTTTATCTGTTATGTGGAGAAACTGTTGGTGTTCAAATATAGTGGCAAGACACCACAGAAACATTATTTGAGAATGAGTTACCATTTTACACAAATGGAGGCGATTGCTGAGTGAGGTGAGTGATTGCTGAGTGAGGTGTTGTGTTGCAGGGGAGGGGAGAAGTCTCTGACAAATAGGTATTTTTAGTGACCACGTATGAATCTTTAAAGAAAACAGTCAGCCTTTTTTTTTTAAAGGTAGTGAAATAATATTATGATTTATTATCAAAATCATGTTAAAATATGTTTGGGAAACGAAATTATCCTCCATCTGTGCTGTATCCTCAGGGCTGGTATCAACAATTTCAATACTTTCCAGATAGGGTCAAAAAGAACTTTCTCTCCATGGTACCATGCTGATGGCTTAATCTTTTTTTTTAATTGTGCTTTAAGTGAAAGTTTACAATTCAAGTCAGTTTCTCGTACAGAAATTTATACACACATTGCTGTGTGACCCTAGTTGCTCTCCCTGTACTGTGACAGCACACTCCTCCCTTCCACCCCGGATTTCCCATGTCCATTCAACCAGCTCCTGACCCTCTCTGCCTTCTGTCTCACCTCCAGACAGGAGCTGCCCATTTAGTCTCATGTATCTATCTACTTGAGCTAAGAAGCACACTCTTCATGAGTATCAATTTATGTCCCATAGTCCAGTCTAATCATTATCTGAAGAGTTGGCCTTGGGAATGGTTTCGGCTCTGGGCTAACAGAGAGTCTGGGGGCCATGTCTTCTGGGGTCCTTCCAGTCTCAGACCATTAAGTCTGCTCTTTTTACTAGAATTTGAGTTCTGCACCCCACTTTTCTCCTGCTCCATCAGGGACTGTCTATTGTCTTCCCTGTCAGGGCAGTCATTGGTGGTAGACAGGCACCATCTAGTTCTTCTGGTCTCAGGCTGATAGAGTCTCTGGTTTACGTGGCCCTTTCTGTCTCTTGGGCTAGTATTTTCCCTGTGTCTTTGGTGTTCTTCATTTTCCTTTACTCCAGGTGAGTTGGAACCAACTGATGCATCTTAGGTGGCTGCTCGCTAGCTTTTAAGACCCCAGACGCCACCCACCAGAGTGAGATGCAGAACATTTTCTTAAAGAACTGTTATGCCAGTTGACCTAGATGTCCCCTGAAAGCATCATCCCCAGACCACCACCCCTGCTACTCTGTCCCTCGATGTGTTTAGTTTTATTCAGGAAACTTCTTAGCTTTTGGTTTAGAACAGTTGTGCTGACTTCCCCTGTTGTGTGTAAAGTCAGCCTTTTTTTTACATGCCATAGTTATTTTTATAGGAAACTTACAAAAAAAATTACAAATGAGAAAGAGAGGCCCTTTCCGACAAGAATAGGCATTTTTATTGCAAAATGTACAGTGGTTAGTCAAGAAGAATTTTGTCAGTTATTCAGTGAATCATATTAATACTATGCTGTGGAATTTATGAAGGGTTTGCTGACAAGCTGTTTGAGAAGGGGCTCAGCCGTGGTAGAGCCCTAGACAGAGCCCATGACGGGAGCCAGCTTTGGTTGGCGATGGGCCAAACATGTATCCTGCTGTTAAGCTCCGTTTCTCAACCACATGTTAGGAATGTGGGCAGGAGAGGAAGAGTATCACCTAATTGCTTCAGGATGGAAAAGAAATAGGCCACTTTGGGCTAGATCTAGTCCATGGAGCTCTACA